TTAATTTGTTTCACGCTAATGTCGACAAACATTTGTGCGCATTGCTTGCTGGGGGATTGGCTTGGCAGATTTAACGAAATTTTGATTGATTTAAGCTGTCACTCATTCGAAACATTGGTGGTGACGATGAAGAGCTATCAAAGGTGTGGCGCAGCTTCATATTTTAACTGTAAAAAATGCGTTGAACTTTATATGTAGCGGCGTAATTAACCGAAGGAGCATTGTGGGAAATATTATTTATTTATGTGCCATACCCACTGCATTGAGTTTTTAGTTAATTTCTTATCCTTAAGTCTGGGGTCACTTTTGACTTGTAATTTGGGGGAGGGAGTTGGCTCCTCAGCGCAAAAGTATAAGTCAAAATTGAAGAATTCACTGAGGATGCTGATTTAATGTAACTTGGTGACTATGCTTGGTTTTTATTTTCTACGTCTGAATTGAGGGAATAAGTAATTATTTTATTTTTTATATAATAATTTGTAAACTAAGAAACCATCAAATTCGGCTCAAGCTAGGTATGTTTTAATCGGCTTGTCCATCAAGCGTTGTCTTCAGGTACAGTTAACGGGAGACCGAGGAAGTGCGGAAATTTCACGGGGTTTGTCCATAGAGACAGGGGGTGTGATTTTGGGCACATGCGAAGAAGTGCCGGGCACTCGTTGGGTACATCTGCATGCACTCTGCTCAGGTATGAGTTTAATCTGCTGCATTAGCCAGAGCGAAGTTGGGCTATTGTGGTGCGAGCCTTCTGAGGCAGACAAAGCTCTGCCCCGTTCATGTCAGGTTGTTGTGTGCCCAAAACGGATTCACAGGTCGGCAGTCGATGTAGGTTGAGACCGTCTCCCTGTGAATGCCGTTTATGGCCTGTCGGTATGCTGTCGGGTCCAGAGGTTGTTTTATGAACCTCTGCACTTCGCCCGTCAGTTCGTATAGATAGATGCCTCCTGACGTGCCTAGGCGAGGGCTCTGCTGCAAGCAAGTGTCTGCTCGGGTGCCCGCGGGTGTGGAAACCTATTAGGAGCATTGTGTTGAGCCCCTTCATGGGGAGCTTCTGGGCTTCGTCGTGTAGGTGGTGTGGGGGGCAACATCAGAAGGCATTAAGTCCTTGCCCGGAGTGCCGTGTTCTGGCAAGTCTGTACCTTCGTCTACTACGTCCTGCTAGTCCCCGGCGACCACACGGACGCTGCATATTTTTGAACCGGCCGGCCAATTGCCTTGCATGTTGCCAACAACGTTTCTTTGTCTTTGCCCCAGGTGCTGCCGGCTTGCGAATTGAGGAACTTGTTGCGGCTTTGCACTCTATTGACAATTGCACAGTTGTATGCGCCGAGAAGGAGAGCAGGCTGTCGAATGTAACTCCGAGGATTTTCGGATTATTCACCGTCGGAATTGGTTTTTTATCGACGTGAGTACCCAACTGCAGCCTGACCTCAGTTTGCTGGTTCTGCCTCTAAAAATGACTGGCGAATGTCGACCACTCATATGATTCGCTGACCACCGTTTGAGTCCATGTGAGAGAGAGGAAGCCTCAATGTCTTCTAGTAGCTTGGAGTGACTTACGGGGTCAAACGTCTACGACAGATCCAACGCTATTAGGGCTGTTCTCTCACAGGGGCAGTTTCGGTTTAAGCCATGAGTTATAGTGTTCATGGCACTTCATGTGCACTTTACGGAACCCATGTTGATGGCTCGCTGGGGTCAGGTGGTTCGTGTAGTGCGGGAGTAGCAAGGCCTCGAGTGTTTTCGCCACCGGGGAATGGAGAGTTATCGGGCTATAAGACTCTCCTTTGGTGGCCATTTCGACGTGGATTCTTGATATCGATGTGGAATTCGGTGCATACTTCGCTGACATTTTCGAAACTTTCGTAAAAATTACTTTCTGCACTTTGTCGCATCTGTTGAAATTCCTCACTTAAAGGCGAAGGGATGGAGTGCAGTGTGTGCATTATTTCCCAAGGTATATAAAATCCAAAGTCGATATAGGAGTCAGGTACTGGGAAATTCGAGTTTCCGATGTGTCGTTTTTGTATGCTGCTACCTCTGCAATATTTTTTGATGATATCTTAAAATCAAATATATAGGTGATAAAATTAAAAATCCGCTCAGGTAGCCTCCCTGGTTGATGTTGCGAAATTAAGTGTATTTAATTATGATTAACTTTGCCTGAAAATTACTACAGTAATATGGAAACTTAAGTTCGGGCTTGGTTTAGAGCCAACAGCAAAATAGAGCAGCCACCAATCCTTCCGACAAGTTTCGTTCCATACCGGTAAGTTTAGGGGGTTCTGTTTCCATTTTATGAGAAAGAGCTGAACGATGCCAGTCTAGCCGGGCTATCAGGGATAAACTCGAAGCCACCAAGAATACTAGATTGCCAAACGTCCCCTTTCAGCATTAAAGAGCCACAGATTCCATCTTCAATTCCTCCTCAATGTTGGGCTTCCATGCCAGCTTCCTCTCTAGAATAAGGCCCATGTACTTGATTCTAGTTATCATAAAGCGAACGAACGCATCCAATAGAGTAAACAGTCCCATACCCTTTACGAAAATTTTTCTAAAGAGAAAATTTAACTATATGTGTACTCTTAATGCTATCCTTTGAAAATTTAGAGGTAAGAGTGAACAGCGAACCGACCGCACAAAACGAAATATTTTCCGAATTTTCTCTTAATAAATGTAAGGACCCTAGAGTATCGTTTAAACAGCAAATCGCTGTGAAAAAGGAAAATGCAAAGAAAACGGAAACGATGAAAATAGAGAGGGAAAACATAATAAAATACAGCAGAGCCAGCATTTGTAGTAGTGAATAACAGGAAGTGGTGAGAAAAGGACACTGACAGAAAATTGGTTTAAGCCACTTATAACAAATGCGCCTTTTTTTGTTACTATATGTACTAACAAATGTTCATACAGATGTACATACTTACATACATATGTATGTATGTATGTACATACATATATAAACAACTATTCATAAATTAAAATTTGAATTCATATTTTCAATGAACCGAAGCCGGTGAAATTTTCAGCTATTCGAACAACTTATGTACAAATGTATGTACATTAGGGTGATCCAAAAATGCATGTGGGGGAAGGAAAAGTAAATTCGCAATTTTTAAGAGAGGATAAAAATTCCGACTTTACAACCCCCCCCCGTATGCATTTTTGGACCACCCTAATGTGCATACATACATATATGCATAAGTTCTTCTAAAGGCTTAAAATTTCACCGGCTTCGGCTCATACCGAAAAAATATACCCCTATTTTTTTTTTAAATCAAAAAATATTTAGGGGTCACTCAATATTGTTTCTCTTCAGCAAATTCCCTATAATAATACCCAATTATTTATTTAACCATTTTTCCATAGTAACTATAGTTTAATTGTCCGCCGAAACCCGCAGAAAATGTCAGAAAATGCAATAGATTAAAAAATAAATAAAATAAATAAAAAATCTTTAGTATTAAAAAATGGTTAAATAAAAAATTGTGTATTGTTATTGGAAGTTTCCTGAAGAGAACCACAGTTTTGAGCGCTTTGAGCGATTTCTAAATATTTTTTGATTAAAAAATAATAGTAAAAATAGCGGTATATTTTTTCGATATAGAACAATCCTAGGGGATGAGAGCATTAAAATTCCGACTTTACTTATTTTGGACCACCCTAATGTGCACGCATACATGTGTACGTATGTACATAAGTATCTATGTATGAATAGAGGTATATAAACACAATAGGAAGAAAATACATGCATATGTACATAAGTCCTACATCCACATTCTGGTGCGATGCGAATGACTTTGCCTAAACAAAGGCATGCAACCAACACGACCTGAATACCGCTGCCACTACTGCTGCTTGCCATTTTAGCTCGTCATGTTAAATGATTACAATGAATGACTCTATGTGGTATGTGCCCGAGCTAGCTTACCCTACCTACACTATTTTATGTAAAGAAAACAGCGCTTAACAGCAGACATATGAACATACGACCGAAGCAAGAAAAAAACAATCGGCGGAAATCATAGTAAAAGTGGAAATAGCGAAAGAATCGAAGGTAAGGTGCCATATGCGGGAATAGTAAAAATGGAAAAATAACAGAGAAATGAAGAAGCACTAACAGAAAACTGATAAAAGTGTAGAGGTCGTACATACATACATCGCATACAGTCGCTGTTAATGTTAGACAGTAGGGGCTGCATTACAGCACGCACGAGTCTGCTAATGTTTACAAATGCGGTTAACAGAATTGCTTTATTTACAGTGAAGGTGTATTGGACAGTGTGCTGTGTTATTTGTTTGCTGCTGCTGCTCTGCATAATGCTCAACAGTGCTCCCACATTTTGGGGCCGTTTTAACAGTAACTGCTATGAATGCTGTTGCTGCTAGGTTTGTACCTGTATGTATGCATTTATTTTTTCCGCTGAGCAGCATTCCAATGGATTAACAGCACCTACATATGGTTGTATGTCTGGCGCTGGATGCCGCGTGCCAACGCCGCCGTCTACATATGTATGTACACATGTACACCACGCGCAGCTCCACTCGCGCGCCACTCAACAGCAACGCGGTAATGGCAGCCAACGTAGCTCTTTTCAGCAGCAGCCGAGCAATGGATTCGGTGGAAATCAAGTTTTAGTACGTGTTCCTCCGTGTTTGACAACAGTTCGTTCGATAGCTGGTAATAGTGCGGCGCGCGCGAGTGTGTGTGAAATTTTCATATCAGAAAAATTTACTAAACAGCCATTTATGGGCAATTTCAAATAAAGTGAGGTAAATTGAAAGTAATTTTTTTAGGTTAAATAAAAATTTTGTAAAAAAAAAGTTATTAAATATTTAAGCTATGTATTTGAAATGGCAGAGTTGAGCGTTTACCTTACGAGCTATGTACATATGTATTGTGCACACATAAAATATGCATAAACACACATACATCTACATATATGTACATATGTACATACATACATATTTACTAATAACTACTCATACATACAAAAATACAAGTTTTCAAGTGTCCGTTAAAGACGTATGTGCATACATATGTATGCATTCATGTGTGCGTGCCGCTCGTGCAACAAGGCTTGAAGTGTTTGTTCGTGCAATATTGGCTAAGTGTGGAAAGCGATGAAATAATAAAAACGGAGTAAATGAAAATGCGTGCTGGCCAAATAAATGGCACGAAAATGGTTCATAAAACGTTCCAAAAGTGTAATGGAATAATAAAAAGTAACAAAAAAAAAAACGATCATAAAAATTAATAAATTTAAAACTCCTTTCATTCACTTACTACCATAACTGCAATGTGCAGCATTGTGTCTGCCTCTTTTCTTGTGTCTTTTTCTTCTACCTCTGCAAACGGTCACGGCAACAAAGAATCGATTTGCCACAATTAGTTCGGCTGTCGGTAACTACAGGCGTCCTACGTCCCACGTGTCGACTTCCACCAACCGCACGCTCGCTATGCACCACCTTGGTACACCCCTTTTCGCCTGTAATATTTTCTAAGCGCCTGCAGGCATGCTTCCCCGCGTAGCAAATGTGTGCGTGTATTTGTTTACTGCCCAGTTACAAACAATGGACTACAGTGCGTATTACGCACTTGAATTCACGCGTATTTGTTAGTGTTATTGTTGCTGGTGTTTTTGTTGTTCTTGCTGCTGGTGTTGAGAAGTTTTCCGTGCGTTTGTAGTAGTTTGTTATTTTTGTTGTGTTGTTGACCCAACGCTTGACCTAAAGGCATGCAAAATCGGAACGGAGCGGGGCTGTGCGGAAGTACATACAAATGTATGAACGAGTTTGGCAAATGAAAAATGCGAATGCGTGTGCGTGTGCGTTTTAATGTGCTGTGAGCTATAAGCGCTTTAAAGCAAAAATTGTGGCATGGAATGGATTAAAGTGAAAGAAAATGTTAGAACAGAGAAACAAGTTTTCTGCTTTTCTTTAATATTTATGTATTAAAAACTCGTTTTGAAAAAAGTCGACTACAAACACATTAAAAAATTGGTTTAAATTATGGAAAATACCCATTATTCCAGAAAAGTAATAAAACTTTTTCATAAAATTACAATGCACTAGCTGTTCTAGCTAAATTTGTACTAAGTACGGTTTTATACCTGATTGTGATAGATAATATACAGTACCAGGTGGACCGAGCTTTGCCCGGAGTGCACATTTTTTTTTAATTTTTCAAGGTTTGGATATCAAATACTGGTCATTTGGGTAGCTTTAAAAAAATATTTTTGAAATAAAAAAATAAAAAATTATTTCGATATCTATTAAGTAAGTTTTTTACTCAAATTAGGTGGCAACCCCACTCCGAAATACGCTGGAATGAATAGCACATATCTTGAGCGTATATGTACTGTGTATACATATGATTGAAATTGACAAAATAAAAATTTTTATTACAAAGAAGCGTGGCAACCCTGATCGAAAATATTTCCTGACCAAAGTCCTCAACAATACCTTTCATTTGATATACATATTGCGATGTTTTAGATAAATTGTGTAGAATCGAAAATAAGTGGTAACCTTACACTACTATCCTAAGGCATACCATTTTGTGTATAGGGAAAGCATTGTTTAAGAACCTTCTCTTGGTACCCATGAATAGTAATATTTTACCTTTTTGCTTAACAAAAAATTAAATAAATACACGATTGAAAACAGGTGGCAACCCTATTAAAAATGTTTTTGAATTAGGGATCTTTAAAATACCTTCCATTTGATGCCCATATGAAGATGTTTTAAATAATTTGTAACTAATTTTGAATAGGTGGCAACCTTATACGAGTCTTCTCGGAGATAATGCCTAGTCAGATAATCTTAAAATCCAAAACATTATCTGAGTACAAAATTTCATCAAAATCGTTAGAGCCGTTTCTGAGAACCCTATGGATATATAGATATACAAGAATTGAATCTTTAATGTAATAAGATATGAGTTATATTGGCAAGCTGTATTTTATTCAGTGGAAGTCATTGTACAAAATGTCCAGACCTTAGCTGTTTAAGTGGAGGAGATATACCTATGTTACGAAACTTTATATCTGATCCATCATGATAATTTTGTCAGCAGACTTTTATAACAGGTCACGAATTATCTCGCAAAACGTCCTGGTCTTAGCTCTGTAAATGAAGCAATTTTACGATCTTAATGATTTTTAGTGTGCAGCTTTTATCAATTAAGTATAAGAAATTCGAGTACAAAAGTTCAGGTCTTTAGATAAGTAGAGGATTTGTGTTACGCCGCAGGGTCTGTAATCAAGCCAAGTTTCCATCAAGCTCAAAATAAAATTAAAGAAATTTTTGTTTTTTTAATAGCGGTCGGCTTTCGCCGGGAATACCAAACCTCCGAGTGTATTTCTGCCACGAAAGAACAGATTTTCATAAAAATACAAACGCGCCTCTTTGTGTGACAACATCGAGGCGCTTGCCACAAATCGGAGAAGAAGCTCGGCCAAAAACTAACGTATTGTATTACGAAACCTCATATCTGAATAATCAGTGGTATGGCTGATATGTATGTACATGAGGGTGGTCCAAAAATACACATATCAAGTATTTGGAATTTTCTCTTTTTTTTGGAAATTGGTCAACCAAAAATGGAAAAAATGTAGAGACCTCCAATTATTTTAAAGTCAGTCCAACCTGTGGTTTCTTTTTATAATAAATTTTGCCGATTTCGTCATTTGCGCTTCAAAGTATTCTTGTAGAATGCGTTCTCCGTACATAACAATTTGCAGAAATCTGTTGACCTTGATAACCATTTCAAAATCATTTCAATTTTAAGCAACGTTCGAAAGCGAATTTCGTTGGCAAACACCCCGCTATTAATTTCAATTTAAATTTCCACAATTTTATTATTGTAAGTACAGCTTAAAACTTAGCTCATACCATAAAAATTTTGTAAAATATAATTTTTTCGCCAACCAAAAAATTAAAACAAATGTCCGAACATAACATCTGCATCGCCAGGGTTTTCTCATACTTGACATGGTGAAAATAAATTTTAATAAAAAAAAAATGGAAAATGATAATTAAAAAATACTTTCCATATAAAACTAAAACAAATATTAAAATCTAAAATATTGGCAATAAAAATTAAAAACTTAGATACCAAAAGATTAGATAAAAAAAATTTACAACCAAATTCAATTTTTTTAGATATTAAAAATTATTATTAAAAACTACTTACTTAGAAAATAAAAAATTTAAGTTCTTAAAAATAAAATAAAATTTAAAAAAGTGAATTGTAAAAGTTACAGAAATTATAAAATTAAAAAAAAATAATTAAAACATTTTTAAATTTATCAAAAAAAAATTAAATATGTATATCCATACATACATTAGGATGGATCAATTTGTATT